AAGTTTGTCTCATTTGTAAGTACAAAGAATATATTTGTATATCTTAATTATTTTCATCATGGGGACTTTCAATTTAAAATAAAATATCAAAAGAAAATGGAAAGTATGAAAGCTATGAAAAGTATGGAAGCAGGGACGAACTGAAATGTATTATGAAAGCAAATTTGGATAAAATGCCAAGGTCCCATCACCCATGCATCTTCTTGCAAATGGGAAACCATTCCTAGTTAATACAAGTTTGACCCAGGTGGTCAACGCAGTTAAGAAGGTTGATCTTACAAAATGTTGTCAACAGATGTATCATTTTTATTATATACTTGTTGATGTATTATAAATGGAATAAGATCGACCACAATAACTGCTTTTTATTTTCTACGTATTAATTAATGTGAGATGCATGTTCTTGTATAAACTAATTTTGGTATCAAAACGTATTTTTGTAATTTTTGTTTTATGTTGAGTCTCGATTTTGGAAGCATAATTACAAGTGCAACAATGTGTGTTCATACCTCGATTCAACAAGGACATCATTTAGAGAAGGTAAGTTGTGTAAAGACACTTTGCCCATATATGCTAGGTTGGAAAGGAGTACAAATTTGGGTTTTAAAGTAAGAATTAGGTTTTTGCAAAATCCTATAGGTAGCATTGTTTTTGGATCTGTCCCACTTGTCCAATGTAGATTGGTTAATTCAGAGTAGCAATCTAGAAAAACCGAATGGTTCGTACTTTTTTCCATCAGTCACACTTGTTTGATTTCAAAAAGGAAAATGTTGGTTTAATTAATTAACTTAATTATCTTTTTTATCAGATTTTGAAAAGGATTCCTTGTACAACTTTAACCTAATTCCCAACATAGAAAATAACTCTCTATTATCCATAAATACTCTTATTTTTTCTTGATTAATCATAGACTAAAAGATTAATATTTGTGCAATTGAGAGTGCTAGTTGAGAGTATTTTTCACATAAAATCACATTGATTATTTAATGTGTCGTTATTTATTACTATTACATTTGGGTGATATTAAGATGGTGTTCTCAATCTGATAGATGGCGTATTGAACTTCTTTAGATTATTTTGGTTGATCAGAATGCATGGTTTTATCCTCTCAACTTCGTGTTCATAAAGAATGATTTTATCATATTACGAATGGGACAAAATGTTCGTGGAGCAGCGTTTGTGTTATTCCAATAACCCATCTAATAAGTTGAAGAAGCTAGCAGTGAGATTTATATGATGATCAGAATTAGGCGCAATCTTTACCAAAATATAGCACATGAGTTTTTGAATGAGACCACATTAATCTTTGCCAAAAGATAGCACTAGCACATGAGTTATTGTAGTTTGAGACTTTCTCAATGTTTCCAAATAAAAAATAAAAAATCTGCACAACAAATGGAGGAGAGAAACATTTAGCACTGTGATTGTGCCTATAATTGCAACAGAATCCTGAAACCAGCTCAAACCCATATGGGCGGGCCTCTTGAGAAATCATCCATTTCAATTAATCCTGATTTCCTAACACGGGTTCTCTTTTGCTTTATGCCATTTCTTAACCTTCCTTGTTTTGTTGATGGGTTTTGCTAGATATCAGTCACGCCTTCAAGTGACTGCTGCGTGGGGCAGATTCGCGACGGGACACCTTTTTCCTAAACCCCTCGTATCAATTAAGATCTTTTTTTCAAATCCGGTTAGGAGTGTCCCACATTGGAGTTAGGGCGGGTTCGGAGCGTCCCGCATTTGAGTCATATTTTCTCAAATTTGAAGTCACATTAGAGCAATTTTCTTTGTATTTGGTCACTAAAATATAATTTTTCATTTTTTTATTGGTAGCCTGCAAACTTAAATAAAAATTTTTAAAAAAGGCCCTATGAAATAAGTAGAACTGTGTTTAGGAAGGAGCTATGCTGGTGATTGAATATGAAATGTTTTAGTAGTTGGCAACTTCTCATCCTCATTCCTATTCTAATCGTCACTTGATTTATATGACTGTTATTGGGAACAGCTTGATTGTCTTGCACTTGTTACATTAATAATTAATTTGATTATTGGCTCAGTTTTGGAATTTATGTCTTGATATCTTATAAAATCATGCAAATCTTATGATTTGGTCAAAGATAGGAGAAAATATATACTATATTGTTGCTAGAGTTAAGTAAAAGGTCTGACCAGAAATAATGAGCATATTTTATTACAGGGTTAATCACCCAACCTTGCTAACGTTTAACTAATTATATTATAAAAAATCACAGACTTTTTGTCAAACTTAGCACCCTTAAGTGTGATGTGTGATGTGTGATGTGTGATTTTGCGAGTCGGTAGTACAAACCAAAAATTTACTTCACAGCCTGATTGGGAGGTTTTGAAATGGCAATTTTAATATTAACCTTTATTAGTAAATTATTATTACTTTTTAAATGACACAATTGAATTTTTAAATTTTTTTTTTTTATTTTTAGTTAAGGTCTCTTATATATATATATATATATATATATATATATATATGTGATCAAAAAATAATACTCCGTTTATGCTGAACAAATTGTTTCTTTCGACCTGATAAAAAAAAATGTAACTGTTTAAAAAAAAAAATTACTCTCTTTTTTCAAGATAAAAAAAAAACAAAAAAATAAGTTTTTTTTAAAAAATCACTCTGACACCCCAACAACCAAATGTCCTTTGTAAATTTTACACTATTAGCCACACTGTTATTACATTTATTTTAAATTTTATTTATGATGTAAGCATAATAAAATGAATTTACAACATTACCCTTCTAACAATTTGATTCTTCCTCTACAACACCATTGGTTGCCAAACCCCTCTGCCCAAGACCTTTAGTTTGTAATTTTTCGTTTTGACAGAGAACAGGAGAGAGGAGAGAGGGGATCGGTGGGGAAGGAAGTTGGTGGTGGAGGAAGATAAAGACACAGTCGAAAGCAAAATCCCCAACACGAAGAAGACGGGGATGACTTTGAACGCCAACAACCACCACTGGTTTTCGGAGGAGAGGAAGACTTTGACGGCGGATTTGGATGGGTTCAGAACCGAGGCGACACCTTTCTCATCCCTCTCTCGCCCTATTTATTTGGTCCATTTTTTCATTCCTCCAACTAAACCAAACATAAAAAAAGTTAAATTATTTAAAATGTAATTATGACATTATGAAATAAGAGATGGGGTATTAATGAATTTAACTTCTACGCTCATTTCTTTTAAAATAAAAAAAAAAAGTAAAATGCAATTAAAAAAACCGCAATGATACTCCTAATGAATTGCTAAACCGATTAATTTTGATTAATTATTTATATAAAATATAACCCAATATAAATGACTACTTTGGGGCTTTCCCGGGAAAAAAAATAGCGGAAGGGTTAAATAAGTACGGAATGGTTTGGCAAATTGGAAATTGGATATCAACAATTTGGGACCCTTCTATCCATTGTCTACAGAATCTATAATCTATTAAAGTAAGACACTGAGAGTGGGTTCCACCAGGACCACCACCAGTCCTAAATCCTAATGGGGGAATTGACTTTTATTCTAAGACTTATCCAAACCAAATGTTGTCCAGATTCCATATTGCGTGTCTTGTCTTCTCTCTCTTTTTTTCTTTTCTTTTTTTTCCTTTTTTTTGAAAAAAAAATATATATATTCACACAAACATTGACTCACAAATATCCACACCCAGTGTTAAAAATATTTGAGTATATATTAGGAAAGATGTGAGAAATGATGAAATTTTTAAATAGAAATATAGGATTTATCTGATCCATTTAGAGTCATGCCTTCAAGAGATGACAGCTGTACATGTGTGGGAACTTGCGCATGTATTTAAGAGTCCAAATTGTTGATGGTGAGTATGACAATCCATTTATAGCTAATTTTTTTTTTTTTTATTCGTATACCTGCAATATGAGACAAATGACCTTTATATTATTCTCCCTCACCTAAGGACGAACCTAGAATTTTTTGTTGGAGTAAATTAATATTAAACATAAATTTAATAAAAAAAATTTCTTAAGCACAAAAAAATAAAAAATTATAACATAATATAGATAAATATTTGAATTCAAAAATTACAAAATATCTATCTAAGTTATGTTTGAATTGGTCAATAATAGACTTTAAGTCAATTTTTTAAATAAGCTCCCGTCCAAAGTTGATGGTTATGCACTCCCAGTAAGAAATTCATCTCAGTAAAAAAAATTGGGGTAGTTAGCCTACCCCTCTGTCCGCCTTTGCCCCCACCCAAACTCGCAACATTCTCGTTGTGGTCAGGCCACCTTGCCTATCCAGGTGAGTCACTCGGACGTCTTTCGAGTCGGGCGCTTGGCGTGGCATCGAATCATGGACTGGGTCTCTAGGATTCTTACTCTGATACCAGTTATAACGAGTGGACGCTTACCCATTTACTAAAAAATTTAAACTGTTGGATAGTGTTGCATACCTACCTATTTATACTCAATCACTTTTCCGTCTAAATATGACCTAAGACAAAAGAACCTTGTAACAGAAAGCTTCCAGGTGGAATAAAAACAACACGGGTGTTTAAGAAATTTTCTTTCACTCAGGTGCAACACAGTTACATTACAGTGCAATACAAATCATATCACAATACAACAATGAAATAATTTATACAAAAGATATAACATTCATAAAATAATTTATATAAAAAATATAGCATCTTATATTATTTCATTTTTTTACAACTGAAATTTTAATATTTCAGAACTAGAGTTCTCACCCACCAATCTTATGTAACATTATGACAATACTAAATTTCAAATGTCGGACAATAACATACATACATTTCTTTTGTAAGTTCAGTGACATCACCCAAGTGACCGTCCCTTTCTCTTCTCCCCCTCAGACCAAAAACCCCCCATCGATGAAATTGAGTCATAAAAAACAAAAAATAAACAACAATATATAATTTTTTTTTTTTTTTTAAAAAAAAAAAAACCCACTTCAACCCTTATATAAAGCCTCTACAAGGGCACAACTCTTCACTTTCAAAAATCGTCTGTGTGTGTAGCTGTCCATACATATACATAATATACTATATCCCAAGAACCAAATTCAGTCCTTGAATTCGAATTTCGTTGATTTTGGAAAATGTACCGATGCGGTGATTTTGATTCCGATTTTGCCCTTCTCGAGTCTATACATCGTCAGTTGGTCGACGAAATCGAAGCTCCGGCTACCAAATCCGGCGACACCTCGGCGGCTTATTGCCGGAGTAACAGCTTGGGTAGCAGCTTGTTCCCTTGCTTGACTGACAACTGGGGTGAGTTGCCTCTCAAAGATAACGATTCCGACGACATGGTGGTCTACAGCGTCCTCCGCGACGCTGTCAACTTCGGGTGGCTTCCATCGCACTCGGCGAAGACCGCCGCCGTTAATCCGGATCCTGAGGAGACTGCGGTCTCGCCGGAGAAATTTGCGGCTACGCAGGCGAAGGGGAGGCATTACAGAGGGGTGAGACGTCGGCCGTGGGGGAAGTTCGCGGCAGAGATTAGGGATCCGGCGAAGAACGGGGGTCGGGTTTGGCTGGGGACATTTGAGACGGCTGAGGACGCCGCCTTGGTTTATGACCGGGCTGCTTATCGCATGCGCGGGTCACGTGCTCTGCTCAATTTTCCGCATCGGGTGAATTCCGGTGAGCCGGAACCGGTGAGATTTACGTCTAAGAGGTCATTGCTGGGGTCTTCTTTAACCGCCTCATCATCGGTGGATGATGGTTCGCCCAAGCGGAGGAGGAAGATGGTGGTGGGCTCGGCGGAGATGGTGGTGGGACAAGTTGGGAGTAGTGGAGGGAGTAGAGGTGGACTACATGCCATAGTTGGTAAGGTGACTGTATAGGCTCTCTCTTAGACTACTCTAAAATGCCACTGTATTTTGAAGAGCACTAAAGATGATGGACTTTACCATCGTCATACACGATTTCATAAAAAAAAATTAAAAAAAAAAAAAAAAAAAAAAAAAAAAGAAGAAGAAGAAAATATTAGGGGCTGTTTGCGATTGTAAATACATGATTTTGTTATTATTTTTTGAATCAGATTTTTTTTTTTTCTTTTTTCCAATGAGAATTTTCTATTGATTTCGTCTCATCATCGTCATATCTCATATACATGAGTCAAGCACATTAATTTTTTTTTTTCACATTCTTTTTAATTATATATATAATGCATTCTCTTAGATTTAATTTTTTTAAATTATTTTTAATTATTTCCACCCATGAAAGTTATGGCTTTGATGTTTTACCTTTTAAGTAAACAAAACTCTTCCATCATAATTATTTTCATGTATCTTCTCTTATATATTGGGTTAACAATTTTAATGTGTTGGATTGCTAATTCCAAAAGCTTAAATTGATTAAAAAAAAGAAAGTTTAACAATATGTATCGACTTCAGCGCCCTCACTCGCGTGCAACGTCGTCGGACTGGCAAATCAAACTAAAATTGTGTAAAATAAACAAATATTGATGAGTAGACTTGAACTCAAAACTTATTAGAACCATGTTAGGTAACTAATTACTCCCAAGAACAACAGTGCATTTTAAGCTACAACAAATTAAGTGTAACTGTGTAATTAAGTGTAAATATTGTTTTTTTTCGTTCAAAGGGTACAAATATGCTATACTTTTTCCTTGATCTAAAGTTCAACATTCCAATCAATAAGTCCTACTTTCGTGTTTTTTTTTTTTCTTTTTTTTTTAAGCAATAAATCAATCAATCTTTATAACATTTTCGTAAGTATAATTTTCTAATAAAAATTGACAACATTATAAATAAGGAGGATAATTTTTTTTAGAATAAATTTATTCTTTTTTTCGGAGTTTTTTATTTATCACTTTCTTAATTTTGTAATCACATATTATAAATCAATTTGGGGTTGCTGTTAGAATTAAAAAAAATTATTTTTATCAATATATAAGAAAATCCAACACATTAAAAATTATTTTTAATATTGGTTTTTTTTTTTTGTTCAAAGGGTGCAAATATGCTATTCTTTTTCCTTAATTTAAAGTCCAACACTCCAATCAATAAGTCCTACTTTAGGGTTTTTTTTTTTTTTTTTTTTTTTTTTTTTAAGCAATAAATCAATCCATCTTTATAACATTTTTGTAATTATAATTTTCTAATAAAAATTGACAAAATTATAAATAAGGATAATAATTTTTTTAAAGAAAATATTCAGTCATTTTTTCTTATTTTCTTATTTATAACTTTTCAAATTTTGTAATCACATAATATGAGCCTGGATTGCTATTGGAATAAAAATAAAAATAAAAATGATTTTATCAATAGATAAGAAAATCCAACACATTAAACATTATTTTTAATATTGTTTTTTTTTGTTTTGTTCAAAGGGTACAAATATGCTATACTTTTTCCTTAATTCCTTAATTTAAAGTCCAACATTCCTATCAATAAGTCCAACTTTAGTTTTATATTCTTTTTATTTTTTTCAAATTAAGCAGTAAATCAATCGATCTTTATAACATTTTCGTAATTATAATTTTCTAATAAAAATTATAAATAAAGATAATAATTTTTTTTAAAGAATAAATTCAGTCATTTTCTTTGATTTTCTTATTTATCATTTTCATAATTTGGTAATCACAGATTATGAGCCCATTTGGGGTTACTGTTGTAAAAATAAAAAATAAAAATAATAAAAAATACTATTTTTCAATAGAGCTGTACAAAAATTACTGTCAGTAAAAAACATGTTAGGTATTTGGTGACACATTATAATAAATATTTTTCTCAATTAAATTATTTTTTAATTTATTTGGTAACAATTTTTTTAAAACACTATATTGCTAATTTTACAATAATATCCTTTAATATGATTTTACCATATTTGATAATAGCAATTTTATTAAGGAATGGGTGTAATTGTGATTATAGAAAATAAAATGGACAAAATTGGCTAAATGAAAAAGAGTTACATAACCCAGTTTCATTAGTTACAAATCTACTCAACTAAATTTGATAACCATTTAAAGCGATTCTAATGATTACTAAACACAATTTCTCAAAATAAAAATCGGCTCTATGTGTACATTTGTGATTAGACTACATCAACGTGAGTAGAGATGACTTTACTCGTCGGTAAATAAACAATGTGTTGTTTGATAACTCAATTTGATAACGCAATTTGAATATTATTAAAAATGTTAAGTACAGTTTAAAATTGACCAGGTAAAATTTTAAGTAACAGAGACATCACTTATTACTAAATACTGAAAATTTTAAAAAATATCAAAAAATAAATATTTTTTTAATTATCATTTAAAAATTTCAGTACTTAAAATTCAACTCTTAAAATTTTCGATACTTAATTTTTAATTTTTTTTCATCTTATATACGGTAAAAAATCGTCTTATAATTTTTCATGCCTACTTAAAATAAAATGTACCACTTTAATCTCCTCATATTATAGACCTATGTACGTGTACACCAATAGAACCTTCCATTATAAAAGGTGCAAAAACAGACACTACGAGAAGTTCCTTGAAATTACCAAAAATGGCGAAACACAATTTAGTAAACTCTTTTCAAATCAAATGAAAACCACACGTGTATTCATCTTGTTAAGTTAGATGTCTCAATCTTCTTTAACGAGAGGGAACAACCACCACATGTTATTTAAAATGTCTCCACCAATAATGTTAAATAGGATAAGCATGGTGTGTCCTTTTCTAAGCTAGATATTTACATTGAATTACTGTATATTTAAAAATAATGAATAGATTCCAGTCCATATCCGTTTATTATAATCATCGCAAGTGGGGTTAAGTGTCGGTAGCATTTTTTGTTTGTTTGCGTGGTAGGGTTGTCTTCCCTTCCCGATCGAGAATTTTACATCGACCCCATTTCATTTTTTATTTTCAGACCGCACACGTAAGGGTGTGTGGAGCCCCACCACATTTTTGCTTGTAACCTTTAGTCCTTCCACGTGCCCCTGTGTCGGTCAGGGATTGCAACTCCTGTAAATTAGCTAGGGCTGACGTCACTAACTTTTATTATTATTATTATTTTTTTTAGATTTTTTTTTATTTTTCTAAATAATTGATTGATAATTTCGTAGAATTTGATTTGACTCTCATGTAATATATATATACCAAAAATATATATATTAAAATTTAAGACAAAAAAAATTAATTTATCAATTCTAGACCAATTATTTTATACTTACTGGATGAATTTGATCTCAATTTTGACGTAAATCTTTGTCAAGTATCAAAAATTTAAAATTAAAAATATGTATTTTTTAAATAAAAAAAAAAAAAAAAGTCTTCACCCTAAAAAAGGAAAAGTAAAAGGAAAGACAATAATCCACGACAGACCATAAAAATCATTTTAGGTGAGTGTAGAAAGAAAGTACTAATAATTGAAGAATTTAACCACCATAAAAAAGGAAGCCTAGGGATTAAAGTTCAACTTTCGTTGTTGACAATATGTGTGTGTAGTTGAAATTAGTTGACAATAATAATAATACACAATTTTTTCTTTTCCAGACACACTCACACCCTTATGCTATTTCAACTCTCGACCTCTCCCCTGTGAAAGGGGGAATATGCCATTTGAACTAAAGATTGGTTTTACATGCACATTCACACACAAATTACGTGTTTTTCTACTATTGTTTTTGACCAAACTCGTCGATCTATCCAATCTATATGAAAATTTAAAGACAAAAATGTTATTACTCTTTATTTTGTTTTCATAAACACACAACTACTAAAACTTAGACTAATGCTATTAAAAACGCTTCTTGATTATAAAAAGTCATAAATTCTTCATATTTAACCAATAAACAAAGATATATTAAATAATTCATTCAATTTTTACATATAAAACAAAAAAGTGTTACATATAAAACGCTTATGCTCTTGTCATGAATGAAGAAAGGTCTCTTGATACCATTTCTCTAAAACTTAAAGTTTGATCCTATGAGCGACCTTGTTGGTAAGAAACTAAAAGAGGTTTTTTTTTTTTGTTTTTTTTTCGATAAATAAGAAATTATGAAAGTTGATAAGAAAATTTAATATGAAAAATGTTAGTTAACAATAGACACGTCTTTCCATTCCTCTGGCCAGAAGTGGGACTCATGTTTCATTACTCGGACCAGAAGTGGGACTCATGTTTGGATATGTTGGGTCTCTATCAATGTTCATTTCAAGATGGACCTACACAATTTTGTACATAAGTGATTGTTTACTCCCCAACGCCCCAACATTCACAAAAATAAGAAGATAAGACTTCTAAAATTAGTGTGTGTGTGTGTGTGTTTTCGTGTGAGTGAGATCATAGGCTCCATTTAAGTGACAAATGTGTGTTGCCTGAGGTCAAAGGTTCTAGTAGTAACATGTTTCCAATTATTAACGGCATAAAATTAAACGTCTCAGCTCAAACTTATCTTGTCCGTACATTTGACTTCCAACCTTTGAGTTGACTTCCAAACCAGAGTTTCACATGTACATTACATTTTCCCTAGGCAAGAAAAATATGACTGCTAACATTCAAACATAGGTAAGTTCTTCAAACATGCGTCGAATTAGTAGGCACATGCGGTTCACAAGCTCCAAGTTGTATGCTTATTTGCTGACTTACCTGTGGCTGTTATTCCGCAGTACGTGGACATAGTCATATCCATGTTTTTATATCAATATCAATGCACACATACGTATCATTTTGTGGAGATAAAGTAACGGTAAGATTACTCTATTTTGATTTGTCACAATCTCAAAACAAAAAACACATCCGTACATAAAAATTAAAGCTGCATATGCGTTTACAAAATCATGACCGGCTCAAGCATCAAGTTGAAATTGTATGCTTATTTGTTGACTTACATGTGGTTGTTATTCCATAGTACGTGGAATAGTCGTATCCATGTTTCTATATTAATATCTCACACATGCATATCATTTTCGTGGGGGAAAAAAGTAGATTAACCATAAAGTTGCTCTATTGTGATTAGTCACAATCTCGAATCATGGGGGCCAAACGTAGAGTAACAGTAAAGTTGCTCTATTGTGATCAGTCACAATCTCGAAACAAAAAACAGCTTATCCGTACATGGAAATTAAAGCTTCATACGCCTCATGCAATGGACTAGCCCTTTACAGAGTCATGACCTGTGCAAGCATCATGCACATTACACATATATCTACTAACTTCTAACAGCAAAAGCCTAGCATTTTGCTAGTGTAAGAGCAACAACACATTCTTAGGCAAGGTTGGTTGCTGGGCTATAAGCTAAATACGTATAGGTCCTGCTATAAGCTCCTATTCAATTGCACAGTTCAAATTTTGATAAAAAGAGGAAACTCATTTAAGCCCTACAGAGAGCCATTATCTGATTATTTGCCTCAAGGCAACAGATCCATGAGTTTATGTTCTGATGTTGGTGTACACAAGCACGCACAAACCCAAGAAGGCGCTAAATGTAGGAAGCCTGCTTACTATTCTCAAAGCAGTAAAACGGGCACGCAAAAGTCTACACTATTTAATCCAAATCCGAGTTAGATTCTAGGGATAAAAGATTTAACCATATGTCACGGACTCATGTTGAGCTAAATGGCAACATTAATATCCTCAACCATCTTTCTTTGAAATAGCAATGACGTTGAAATTGATTGAGTCGGGATTTTTCTGGATCATCCCTTTTATAACTTTAGCCGCATCCTGTAACAAAACAAGATAAACAATAATGTAAACCAAAACTAAAAGGACGAGTAAATTACAGGGTCAATGCATTTTGAAGTGATGAAATAAAAGAACAAGCCTCACAGGCATCAGTTGGAGATCAAAGCAGGCTGAATTTTGATAGATAAAAGGACTTACTTCACAAGGCCCAACCAAACCAAGAAATTAAAGCTCAGATTGGATTTGTCATAAACAAGTGTTAAGATACACTCAAAATTTCACTTTGATATGCATACAGCAATGCAACCAGGTTCGGCCTAGGTAGGGTTGCCTAACAACACCCAGGCCAAACCTAGCCCCACACCCCTCTAACTAAGCTCCCCCGATGGTGGTCCGGGCTCCAGAAGTTCCAAAAACATTTGGTCTAATATTCTTCCAATTCAGAAACAAACCATTTCCTTTAATCCATTTTAAAAAGAAATGTGGTTAACTCATCCCAATTCAAAAATAAACCAACTTCTTTAATCTATATATATCTAAATATATATTTCATAAATAACTTCTTTAATCTATTTTAAAACACCAAAATCCTTAAGCTCATTAACCTCATATTAATTTTGAGTTTTTAAAACATTCTCTGATACTTGTACAACTACAATAATTAACATACCAATTAGTAAAATTACCTGCAAGAAGCTGCTTGGAGAGGTGGCACCATGTGATAATGGTCCGGACCTTCTTCCATCTAGCTCAAAAAGTTCTCCTGCAAAATAATATTTTTATAGCCAAACAGTTCATCAGGTGAAAATGCAGAGGACAAACAAATATTTACGAAAACACCTTTTTCATCAAGTATAATGACTTATTACTAGCTAGCAACTGTGAGAGAATTTTCAAAGAAATTAGGTACCATCCACACATGCGAAGCAGATAAAGTGAGTGTCCACGTTATCTGAAGCCTGTAAGGTAAGAAAGCAGAAGCATAAATTGTATAATCAATATGGAGAACTAAGATATCGGCACTCAGAATTTCTTTAAAATAACTAAAGTATGAGAGTGACGCATGAGCATGAGCATGAGCATGAGCATGAGCAAGGTTTATTAAGAGGTTACTGTAGAGCAAAAACTGTTCACGGGGGTTCCAACGCAACTGTGCTATAATGCTATATGAGAACATGACTCGTGTTATTGGCAAGTGACAAGTGACCACTGTTCAAGCTATTGCTATTACCTGTGAGTATAAAAAACTTTTATGTGCATTACAAATTAATATAGAATGGCTACAAAAAATGACTTGTTTAAGAGTGATGCAAGAACAAGGTTGTTACTATAGAGCAAAAATGTTCACGGGCGTTCCAACACTACCATACTATAATGCTGTATGAGAACATGACTCATGTTATTGGCATGTGACAAGTGACCACTGATCAAGCTATTGCTATTACCTGAGTACTAAAAACTTGCTTGCTGTTAATTGGATTATTAGTTTACTTATTTGCCTTTAGTGGTATTATAATTGTATAAAGAAGAAGAAATGAAAATATAAAATGAAAAAACACCCATGCTAAATGTTGTTGTTTGGTCTGGCAAGTGTGAACAGGATAAAACTAGGGTTTCCTTTTTGTAAGTTGTGATGTATACTGCAACTGCACCAATGACCCTTTCTTTACTGTCATTGGAAACCCATCATTTTTTAATTGCCCAAGCCCTAAACGTTATCCTATTGAAATCCAACAGCAAAAGAACATTCCCCAAAATAATGTTACCCAGTCTTCCATCCAAATATGTTGGCAGTCCAAACCGTGTAGATATCAATCTTCAAACAATGCAGTTAATGACTAATCTATGAGCATGTACAATAGTGATTTATTCAAGTTGAAGCAAACAAAGGCCAAAGAAGGATGTGATCATACAGCCAAATGGATCACAATGGTTTGACAAGGAAAGCATCACAAACCGGAAATTTCAGAGCCAAGCTTCTGAACACAATTCCCATTCAGTGCATTAAATAAATACCTGTAAGTCTCAGTTTGAGAGAAAGATAGCCTTACTTCAAATTGTGACAGGGCTCTTCTTCAATCCTTTAGATTGCAAGACAGATTTAGAGAAAGAGGAGGAGAAATCCGGGTGAGAAAATATTGGTTCAGACATAAATAGAGGGGAGAGAATAGGGTATAAAAGTTAAAACCCTCTTTTTTTTTTTTTTTGATAAGTATTAAAACCCTAACTTTTAACCATTGCAAATGGGTGAATTGAAATGCGTAATTGGGTCCAAGGTGATCCAAGGGCACTATGGCCAATAAAAAGGATATCACAGATGCAATTTACAAACGAAATGCACCTATTGCACCTGACCAAGATTCAGTTAATTTCTTAACGATAAATAGACGGCAAGGAGGTATTTGTTAGATTTTACAAAATCTTCAAGGGGTTTGTTGCACGAGTTCTAGTTTAGGGGGGTAACCCTTCATTAAATATTTAATTTAAACTTCATAAAAATTACATATAAAAATTCAGGAAAAAAAAAAAATTACATGTGAAAGCTTAAACTATTTGGCACTACCACCACCAACATAAAAACATTACTTGATTTTTATAATGAACACACATATGTACAACGTTTAAACTCATGTAATTGATCTTTCCTTACTAATAATACCTTTGAGGTCCAAAATGTATTGATATGATAACAATCTATATAGTCATATTTCTGAATCACATATACCAGTAAAATTTTGGGTTGCAACTATTGACTAATGGTGGCATAAATATTCAAAATCACAGTCGTAATAGCATTAATGCTATGTTTGGGGGTAACGAATCGGTGTCATGAATTTGGGATTCGAGGAAGTTTAGTTCAAAATTTGTACTAAATGTTTTCTAATCCCAAATACAAGGAGCCGATTCAGTGCCACCAAACAAAGCATAAGTATATATATATATATATATTTTTGATAACCAGGACGTCCGGGGCTTTGCCCCGACTAAACCACGGGACCCATGCAAGGCGACCCCCCCACACGGATCGGGTATAAGTATATTATTGTTCCAACTATCCCATTCTTGTGATGTTGAGATGTCATTCACGGTAACAGATGCCACAATTTGCCAAATCTTGGTAAGTAATACTATTTTATGCACTCCAAAACATTGGCTTGCATATCAAGTGTGAAGTCGAATGGAACAATAAACACAAGTTAATCACTTAAGACAAAAAGAATGGTATAGGTAATGGGAGTTGGGATAAATCAATAGAAGGGATTATCTATGTCTCGCCCTTTTCAGCTCATTACTCAAGCAACAGATACCAAAGTTCCCCTGCTGCGCAGAAATATCAATAATGGAAACCTAAGCCCTTATTCTACTACAAGCATCATTTATTGGATGGAGAATGTATCCTACATCATTCAACTCTCAAGTGTGGCAATAATCAGATCAAGTTACTTCCAAAATCCATATCAGGATTAAGTCAAATACCATCTCGTCTCTTTTACATTCCTAACTGTTGGTGGTCCTTAAATTAGGCCAACATAGAATGGAATTATGATTCAGAAATGAAACCTTACCTCTGTATCACCAGCAGTAGCTGCTACTGAATGAGCAACTTCCATTTCTCTATCACGTTCAAGGAAAACTGCACGCTGCACAACATTATTAGCAAGGAAGAAGTCAATTAGAACTGCCAAACAAGACAGTCATACAAGTCTCAGATCAAATACTCATTTTCGATGAAAAAGAAATGTAACAGAAAAATGACCTCCATTGGGTCCATGCTTGCAGTAGACTTGAAGAACCTATCTAAGAATGAACCCTCATCTGAAACCACAAATCCAAGAAGTGAAAAAGTGGCCATTAGTAATTAAAATAAATGGTTAAGAGCCGTCGGAAATTTAGATACACGGGCTCAATTTATATATCAACTTGCAAAGTACTTTTTTTCTTTTTCTTTTTCTTTTTCTTTCTTTTTTTGAACTTTTTATTATTATTATTTTTTTAGTTTTGTGAATAATCTTTCACGGGCAAAGAAAATAATGGAGATTCCATCACTTGGAAAAAAAGTGGTGACAGATCCAGGGATAGAGCCAAAAAATCACACAAGGGGGCCAAAGTAAATTAAGTAGATTTAATCATTCTTAATTAGGGGACCCACACTGAAGCATGAATTACCTTAAGGGAACAGATCATAAGATTTTATAAAGATGGCCGTCCATGAAAAGAGACTATGGAGTTCTTCAATCCTTATGGATCCAGGGCCCTCATTACCTTATATGTGGCTCCATCTTAATTGGATCCACTCATAGATGGCTAGAAACTTTGCTTGCAAGCAAAGTAAGCACACAACTTTTTGGAAATATTCCACTCTTTGGCATCTATTAACTAAAGTGGTCCAAAAGTAGACGAAGGACTACGGCATTTTCATGGACCCAAAACAAAAGAAATATGTGTTGAGAATAGAATGAATACAGATGTAAAGATGGCATTTTTCATAACAAACTTTTATTTCAGAACAGATTAAACCATATTATGAGTAAAATCGATGTAAGAACTCCTCATCGACTGCTGAAACATGTGCCTGGAAGCCAAAAATAACTTTATTAAATTTGTCACTTATAACTCTTACAACAAAATTCCCTATACCTATATGGTGAAGTGGTAGTATATATAACTACCAGACCCATATACAAATAAAAGCATTTTCATTCATGCAAAATAAAAAACACACTTACGAAGCTTTATCTCTGAAGAGATGTTGCCAACGCCATGAAGAAGTCCAACTGTTCCACAAGCATTTCCCACAGTTTGTCTCATGAAATAAACTTTACTGCTGATCTCCTGCATATAAATTATAAGTAGACCCTATTCTAAAACTCGATGATAAGGAAGTTCAAAACTTGATGTATGAAGTGGCTTGCAATAAAATAATGATTCACACACTTCAATGGACAAATTAATAAAACACGATATATTATATCAGACAATACCATGTAAATATTAGGAGAAACTAAATAATTTATGTTCAAACAATTTTGTAAAGCTCTTTACTTCGCTAAGTCATTTTATTTTCTGAGTTCATTCCAATATAGCTCTTTATCAGCATACTTCCTCGTACTTACTATTACATAACTCCTAAAAAGTTTAATCATTATTTACATTTTTGGACAAGTATATCCCACTAAAAGCACAAATAAAATGGGGCGCATGACCCATGTACACGAGGTATACAAAAATCAAACACAAAAAACAAGAGAAAAGACTCGCATTCCATATAAAATCTACTAAAGAATCCATGGACATAGAATAAGACCATGATCCAAAAGTATAACGTCTTCAAAGACTCTGCTTTAATATGCACCTGCATCTAGATTCTTTCAGAAGTCATTCTACTTCTTCCACCAAATACACCACTTAAGACAGAAGGGTGCCTCATAAGTCCCACCCTCCTCCAAACACACCTGTCCATAACTCCTCAACATGTCTGGGATTGTTCATTCTGTAACAACTCGACCTGGACAGGTAACAGAGAAGAACCTCGAGCTCCCTAGCAACACTACAATGAAGAGAAAATGAAGCACAGTCTCCACATCCAACTTGCACAAGCAGCAGCCATTTGCAAAAGTATAATGTCATCTATGCTCCATTAGAGGATTTCTAGCTCAAACGCTCTTCCTAGGAAAATCCCCTCCACATCATATAGAAAAAACTTCATAGAAAAATTTAAAGTTAAAAACAGTAATGTTAGCTGCTTTCCACTTGACTGAATCATAGCTCTATCAAGAAGGCAAATCCCTAAAGCAACTAAATAACTTACTGAGTCCACCCACCCACACCCTGCAGTCAAAATTATCTGCTAATGTCTCCACCTCTGCATTTCATGCACCACAATAAGCTAAAATTCTACTATATTCACCCTCACTCCTGAAAAAGCCTCAAAGCACAAAAGGACACATCTCAATTATACAACTCAACCGCATAAGCAGCACAAAATATAATCGTATCGTTAGCAAAAAATAATGAGAGACAGACATGGTAGTCCCCTCCATTTCACATACATAGATGCCCGGATGACTTCCATTGCCTGCTTCAAGAGTCTACAAAATGTCTTTATCACCAGAATAAACAACAGGGATAAGAGATCACCGCCCTTAGAACCCTCAACCTCGGGAAATAACACTCAGGAAAGTCATTACCAAAATAAAATATAAAAAATAGATAACAGAGATACAAGATCTCAATGAACATCATCATAAGCCTTCTTAACGTCAAACTTACAAACCAAACCCATAGTTGTTAAAGGCCCAAGGCGCACCAAGGCGCTAGAGGTCCTTTGGAGCCTAGGCACGAGGCGCGCGCCTGAGTGAAGTGAGGCGCACAATTGAAAATTTAAACTACCATACTAACATTCATATCTCATAAGTCATATCAATATTCTAAAAATTACTATCAAATATAAAAAAGTAAATCCATCAACTATACAAGCATCCAACAACCATAAAACAGAGCACAAATTTGTTTTCTTGAAAGGCAAAGGAAAATGTGTTTTTTGAATGGCAAAACAAAGCACAAAAAGAAATAAATATGTTAACAAAAAAATAAATAAATTGTTAAAAAGAATAAAAAAAAAAAAAAAAAAAAAAAAAAAAAAAAAGAAAACAGAGCAAAAGAAAAAAGACAGAGACGAGAGATCTAGACGAAGAGAGAGATGTAAACAAAGATAATAAGAGAGGAGAAGAGAGAGAGAGAGAGAAAAAAAAAAAAAAAAAAAAGAAAAAAAAAGAAGAAAGAAAAGAAAAAGAAGAAGAAGAAGAAGAAGAAAAGAAAGAACTGACGTGGCTTCGTCGTTCATCTCTGCAACTAGGGCTTCGTCTTCGTCTCACAATCTCATTCTATTGTTGTTCGGTTAACACTTCGACTCTTGGGCTTTCTTATTTTTTTATTCTTTTGAACAGAAGTTCCTTAAATCGTATGATTAAGCTTTCTTTTTTATTTATTAAGTTGCCAAAAGTACCCTTTTTGGCTTAAGAAATAGAACGATCGTATTTTTTTAAACAAATATTAGTGAGGCGCGCCTAACAAACAGGATGAGGTGCAACCGAGGCGCGTGCCTAGTAAACATCAGTGAGCCTAGGATGACAACAGGCACTAAACCTGAGCCTCGAGCCTAGGTGCGCCTTTAACAACACTGACCAAACCAGACTTACAACTCCTTGGCCTCGATTGAATACTGTGATTACCAACAAGGCCAGCAGCCCAGATTTGTTTCCCATAGAATTTGTTTTTTCCCCTGAAAATCACATCCCAGCCACCTTCCCAAACTCATGGCAGGTACCTTAAAAAAAACAGTTTATAAGCACTCCCCACCAAATTTATTGGATTAATATCCTTAACGTCAACTACACCCCTTTTCCAAGGCATCTAAACATGCTCAAAGAAATAGCACACAAAAGTCATCACCTTCTCCCTCGCAATTAGTTAGCAATGGTAAGAGAATGCCATAGTGAACCCTCTGGACCAGAAGTCTAATCCCCACTAAAGATTTTCACAAAGCTATTATTTCATATTTACATGTTTTTTGCCAATATCAAGCAAGTCTGAATATAATTTTGACGTATTAGTTAACTGAGAGGTAATAGGTTCAGACTGAACTTCCAAGGCAAAATTTTCAATAAAACCCAAGAAGAAAATAGAAAAGACAAGAGTGTTCAACCCAACAATCAATCCCATGGCTGTCCAGCGACATTAATAACTGATTTGGGACCACTTATTTTAGCAACAATATTTGAGTTTTACAAAATGTTTCATGTTAGCAGCAAGGTTATGCAAATCACGATCCATCTTGTAGGATTGCATGAGGCACAAATTTTGCACCGTATCAAGGCCATGAATCATTGATGGAGACTCAAAATATGCAAACACAATTGTTTAACACTTGTACATCTCTATGGTTGCCGCCAATATAATAAATCATAAACTACTTCTTATTCTTTTTTTGCATTTTCTTATTACTTGTGTCATTCTTGCCAAAGTCTAGAAAAATGGCAAGACATGGAATGCAATACTACAACTTACCCTTGTTACTGGGAAAATATATATTGCAAGCATTTAAATGCCCAATTATTCACCAGACATAAAATAGTTACAGAAAACATCCCTGGATTTGAAAGGAAAATTCAATATGAGAACATCTTCAGCACTATATCATATAAAAGTTTCACACAAATGGTGGATAAAAATTAAATCTATCAGACTCACCTTCCTTATGCCGTCCTGCTGGATTCTCTCTTCTTCACTCTGAAAACAATAAACTCTTCGTTCAAATCAAGCCATGTGTAAATCATAACCAGCACATCAAGCTACAAGCATATCTATAGAGGAAAAAAATTCAAGAACAACCTTAATCAACAAAAGCAGGAAAACAAGAATCTTAAGAAAACATACCTGAGGAGTGATGGGATAAAGAAATAGCACTGCAAGTACAGGCTTTGGGACCATTTCCAAGAGTTCTTCGTCCAAGCCATAAACATCGTAGCACTCTGCCTCATTCTCTGGAAGACCAAGGCCCCAAAGGTACTGCACCATTAAAAAAGCAAATAATTATAATTGCACCAAAATCACCTGTTAATACATTCATACAAGTAATTCTATCTGAACTAAAGTAAATCTTGTATTGCAATTTCCAATATATATAATTTTCAATCCAACCAGCCAAAATACCAAAAAAAACGTACATATTTCTGATTTTTTTAAATATATATCTAGAATTAACTGGAGTCTGGAAATCAACTCAGCCTATTTCCACATAGGGTTCAAAATCAATTCATAATGCAAACAATCAAATTATAGAAATATCAACCATTCAAGCTTAACAAGTAACTAATCCTCTAGACAATCATTGAGTGGTTCTACATTAATTGATCACTCAATCGAGCAAGAGAAACTTAAAATAAAACACCGGATTCCAAGATACCCTAATAAGCCCTGTTTGGTTTCCGAGAAAATTTTATGAATAAGAAAATATAATATAACTAGTTATCTCAGTTTCCGTTTGTTTCAGTCCGCGAAAAATGGAAAACCCACATAAATTAAACCCAAATAGTTGTGTAAGTTAGGCTCATTTGATTGCGGAAACCCTTAAATAAATGAGATATCTAAAATCCAAAAACACATCTCTTTTTTTCCGTCATTTTCTGAGCCATCGCTAATGCGAAAACAAATACTGGGTATGTATCGGCATATAATGATAAGCAGATGAGTTGAGAGAAAAAGGGTACCTGATTCATAACATCAGGGTTAGCTTCAAGAGGAAGCCATCTCTTAGCAGCAGGACTTTCGGCCATTGTAGCGTTGTAGCTCTTATCTCTCTCTCTATATAACTCTCTATATATATATGTATGTGTAAATATATATAGTATCAGCAACAGAGCAGAATACGAAAAGTGGGGTTTTTGATTGGAAAGAATTGCAACCGCGAACGTCTCTTATTTCAGGCTTTGGGTGGGTTTTATACTTTAATATGGTAAATTTTTTATTTACTAGCGTAATGTTTAGAGAGCCGTATCAATTTAATTTGTGAGGGTCACAATTATCCGAGTATTATTTATCAGCTTCATATAGAAATTGCGGGTGCAATCTCTAACTTTCTATTTTTACTCTTAAAAATAAATAAATAAATAAAATGAAGGCTATATATGAAAAATAGAAGTCAAAATGAATAATAATACTTTAAAATCTAAACGTGACTGGTGTAGATTTTACAAATTTCATTATTTTAATGAATTAATTTAAATTATAAACATTTAATTTAAACAGAAACTAATAATATTCACAGTGCGCGTTTTATATTCTTGCACAGGACTTGCTCTTTTTTTTTTTTTTGGTTAAAGTTGAAGGTTTAATTACACTTATATTATAAAAAATTTGCATATACCAAGGTTGAAATTAGAACATTACATGATAATTAAAGGGTATTAAGACTTTTCGAACTCCCAATTTATATTCTTGGTTTTTATTTTATTTTTAAATTCCTCACAAATTAGGGGAAGGGGGACTAGCACACATATTTAAAAAAACTGAAGCTTTGCCAATTAAACTATTGAGTAAATACCCTATCCTCGTGGATTTTACTGCACAAATTTGCTTAACCATGAAAATTTTGCTTACCACCTTGTACTAAAACTTAGCAAGAATTTTGTGATACACCTATTTCCTTCAATCAAGACATTAGATAATAATCACTTGATACTTCTTCAAAATCCCAATTTGAAATATTTGATGCATTTTGGCAATTTCCGAACAAGTGTTTGATTTAATGTCTTACAAACAAAACATGTGGAAGCCTTTATTTAAAATATGATGCTGCATTTTGGCCATGCAATAGCCTTGTCACTAGGGTGGCCAAGTAAAATTTGGGCACAATCTGATGAAATTGTTATATATGCTTCAAGCAGGGTTTTTATTTTTCCAAAAAACCCTTGATGTAGACAAAGCTACGATCCAATGTAGACAAATGAACTAATTATTTTCAAAACGAATAATCGCTATATCTTGTATTAGCTTGCATATTTATTACAGTATATTATTTTATAATAGCAAAGAACTCTCACAATGCTCTTAAGAAACTCGACCAAATCTCATACGAATAACTCTAGTCCTATGTGTGGGTTTGGTAATAATGGAAGGACATGGTGTCTTTCTATTATCAATAGAAAGTAGAGAGAGAGGAAAGGAACATGAGGATGAAAGAGACATCCTTGTGCATCCATTGATTTATTTCGATCCAAAATTAAGTGGAAGGTGAGAGCTAGAAAGAATGAAAAATGATGCAACCCTGTCTACAAAATAGTAAGTGTCACAATTTTTCTTCCCTCTACTCAACCAAGCAAAAGAAAAAATAATAATAACATCCCTTCCATAAGTATATCTCTTCCATCCATCCAACCAAACGGGTTATTACAGAAAATCTAATGAATGGTATCACTATCATCAAACACTAAGCATTCATTTTGTTCTTTCTGTAAGTAAAACCTCAAACCGTCCGTGGAAAGACCGCCGGTCAAGTTCAAGAGCAGTTACTTCATGCAACATAATGCATTCTTCTCATCATCTACAGAGCAGTTACCTCATACAACATATTGTAAAAGTAAAATCTGTATGTAGCACATTCTTCACAGAATCTTGAATATCTGAAACTATCGATGAGAGTCTGTCGACACATAAATCAGATATCAGCACAAAATTATATGGTCCAACTAGTTTATGTTCCCAGATATACAACAAGCGCGAACATTCATTCATCTGATTCCCTTGCCAAGAAGAGTACTAGTGCCATGCATTTATGGTTGGCCAGCTGCTCAAGAAAAATGGAAAGAGTTGAAGAAAAATTATGTAACAGTGTTATGAGGTTGACCTAATTATCACTACACCTAAGCTAAGCTTTAGATCCCTTATGGTTGAAATCTCATTAAAGCACAAATCATTGACTATATAATACCCCAGAAACGAGAAAAGGAAAACAATTAACAAAAATTTACAGCTATCGATCTGGTTATATAAGATTTTTCTATTATTACCTCATGTAAGATGAAGAAAACAAAAAATAAAATAAAAAATAAAAAAAATAAAAATAAAAAAAGAAAATTAAACTACTCTCAGGCATCACCTTTTATACCAGAAACAAAAAAACAATAAGGTAAATAAATTTAACATAGAACTAGCTCTCAACCAGGTTATATAATCCATAGAGATTTCCCAGTTCCATCGTTTCCTCGTGTAAGCTATAGAAAGAAAGCAACCAGGAAAGAGAAACATTTAAAATATTCTCAAGAATCACCTTTTATATTGCACTTACGCGCGCATACATACATATAATAACTGTCAAAAGAACAGAAGCCTAACTTTCCAACTCATTTTAGAGAACATGTGATCAATTCCTAAGCAGATTCACCTCATAAAAGAAATGTACAACACTTGCTCATGATGTCAAAATGTGGTAAGTTTAAATTTTAGGATAAAACAGGTGGAAAACTAAGCAATCTAAAACTTTATTTAGGAAACAATATTTCTGCAATTAGAAAGCTAGCCTTGTAGTCAAGTAACTGCCAGAATTATATGCTTGTGGGTTATCATATCTGAAGAAATATATGTACTAAAGTGTGCTCAGCATTTCTGGTAACATGATAATAAAAATAATAATAATAAAAAAAAAACCAGTTTGTAATATGTCTCATCCAATTATTGTCGGTGATAGCAGTTATACTACAACAATGGCAGCATATTGATTGCAGTCCACAAGCACAATGGCAAGGCTCATAGCACACACCTGTTGACATTGTAAATGACAAATTATGCAATATGACAGGAACATGGTAATTTAACATCGAGTAGAGTCTGAAAGGACCGACTTAAATAATCAAGTTCCCACTGCTGGTTTGAACATTTCATGCACAAATTTAATATGCATTTTATTCAAGGTTAGAATAATTACAATACTGTGATTTCTTGAAAATTTCATTTTAGAAATATCTGCAAAGAATGCAGTTATTGGATAAACATGAAAAGGAATTATAAGCAAAAATTACACTTTTTTCTGCTTTAATTAATCCTGCTTGAATTTCTCCTCATGTATAAGCTCATATGTAAAGAGCCACTATTTGGTGCACTAGCAAAAAGCTTGGGCTATTAAGCGTGAGAACACAGGTTTGAATTTTGAGACACTCACATTGTGTTTACAATGCTGTGAAGAATTTAAATATCAAAAGGCCATTAGAACATAAGGTGGAAAAAAATCAAAGGCAATAAAGGGATAAATTTTAGAGAATAAATATTACAAGAAAATCAACGAAATTGGAACGACGGTATTAATAAATAATGGTCAAAAATGGCAAATTAATATTAGTAATGTGGTGAAAAAAACTTCAGAGAGACTAAAGGGAATGAATGTATTCAACAAGTAAGAAACACTGTGAGGAGTCATGAAGTCCAGAAAGTAATACAAAACAAAAGAAATAGTTTCAAAATATGGCACATTTAAGAAGATGCATTAAGTGATTTATAAGAGAAATGAGGTACAAAAGAGGGTGCAAAAAATAGTTATCAGTGGGAAAAAAGTAGAGATGGGATGATTAGAGATATGGATAAAGCTAGATTTATTAAGAACATAGATAGCGACACATTAACACGAAAAAAAATACTTTCAAAACCTGTTAAATGTGGTTGGGGAAGAAATTACAAATAATGAACCTCGTTCAGTAATAATACATATGATCAAAAATTAAAGTGGAGACGCACTTAAAAAATGGGTAATAATAAGCAGTGCAGATAACATACCCATGGAGGCACAAAGAACTTTAGGGAATCTAGTATTAAATATATAATATATTTTTTTCAATGAAATTATGAAAGAAGGGAGGATAATAAATGAATGGAGAAAAACCACTACAATACCAACTGACAGAGGTACAAAATTGTGGCAGTTATCGTGAAACAAAAATTAATGAGCCATATAATGAAACTACAGGAAAGGAGAATAGAAGAAAGATTTATAAAGGAATCCACATTGTCCAATAATCAATTTGGATTTATGTCGGGAAGATGCACAATGGAAATCATTTACTTAACTAAACAATTACACAAGGTTTTCATAGACTTAGAGAGCACAAATGGATAAATTGGTGGACTTGTAAGTTCCCATCTTATAAAAATTATTCAAGACATGTATAGCAAGATAGAGTCCATAGTCCATACCACATGTGGATAGACTAGTGATTGTTTTTTAAACTTTTTATAAAAGTTGGATAACACCAAGTATCAGTGCCAAGCTCATATCTATCCACGATAGTTTTATAATGAAATAACAAAAGACACACAAGAGGACAACCCATGATGCATGTTGTGTGCCAATGACATGGTGCTAATAGAGGAAGCCTTAGGATATAATTAGAAATATGAAGCAATTCATTATAAGGAAATGGCTCAAGAATTAACAGCTGTAAAAGAAAATATATGGAATGTACCTTTAATAAATTCTCAAATAATGTGAATATAGCAATAGAAATTAAAAACCAAAGAATTAATCAAAGTAACAATTTAGGATCAATAACATAAAAGGATGAGGATGTAGATGATGATATAGTTAATAGGTTTGGCGCAGGTTGGACAAAATGGAGAAGCCTAGTTGTGTCCCAAGTGATAAAAATAAAAAATAATAATCAAATAAGTTAAAAGGAAAAAGACAGTTATTATTCCAGCTACCTTGTACAAAGCATAATGGTAAGCATTGAAAAAGAAACAACAACAACAGAGTCATGCAGCTAAAGTGAGAACACAAGGATGGGCTTACAAGAATGACTAGAAGAGATAGAGTTGATAATCAACTCATGAGGGAGATTTAAAGTGATGCCTGCTGGTGATAAAATAAGAAAAACAGGCTTAGATAGTATGGACACAGCGGCACATACAACACAGAACTATAAAACCAATCAATGAGAGAAGGAAAATTAGTTTGCTTAGAATATAAGAAACGAAATTAACATGGTATGAAATAATTAGAAATGGTTTACAAGATTAAATATAATATTAGAACAAGGATTGTAGTAGGAAAGAATGGGGAAAAGGAATTCATGTGGCAAACTAATTCATATGAGATAAGGCAAGTACGATGATAATGACAATATGTTTTCTTCTTGTCCTAAATAATCAATAGAAAAACAAAAGGATGTTTATTGCACTATTTAGAAGTTAATGAATATATAAACTCTCTAATTATATGATCCTATTATCTTCCTTAGTTCTCTTTCTTGCCTAGTCCTCTTCTAGCATTCCTCAGATATCTTTCTTTAGCCTGACATCATAGCTTCTTTTTTTTTTATCCAACTCCTATGTTTATCCAAAAGATTAGGAAACTAATTCTTTTCTATCAAAGTATTAAGTCTAGCCCATTCCATCCTTTAAGCCCTTTGATCACTTGATCAGTTACAAAATCCTAAAGACCAAACGCTCTTCCAAAAGAGTACTCACTGCATATAATTTTTTAATTAAGCTAAAACTCATTGAATTAGTTAACCACATAACAATATATTTATCTCATCAACTTATGCTCCATTTGGTTGGAGGGATGGGAAAATGGATGGAAGGAACAGAGGGAGGGATGGATGAGGCATCCCTAGGGAAGGGAAGGTCTCTCTCTCACTTTTTATTTGGTTGAATGGAAGGGATAGTAGAAAGGATTGATGGGGTGACACCTTCTTCTTTCACTTTTTTTCTTTTCTTTTTTGGTTAGAAGGAAGGAAAGGAGAGTTTTCATTTTTTTTTTTTTACCAATATCACCTCAATATGTAAACTTATAATATTCATTCTAATTTTCAGTAGGGTTTAACAGGTGATTTTGTGAATAATTGAAGGTTAAAATTGGTATTACATATTTGTAAGGTGGTTTTCTTTCTTTCCCTCCTCTCTTCCGCCCAATTTCGGACGGATAAAAATATATGGGCTTGGAGGATGCATCATACCTACTTGCTTCCTCCCTCTCTTTCCTTCCTTCCAACAAAACAAGGGAAGCGTCTTCTATCCCTTCTCTCTTCCACCCTTTCTCAATCCTTCCTTCCAACCAAACATAGCATAAAGAAACCTAATTACCATGCAACCTCTATGTGCATGAGTGTGGAATTCATATAAATAGTCCTGAACTAACACCAGAAGATTTTTGATTTGATAAAATGCACAAAATGCCTACTAAATCTACCGGGGGAAGAAATTATCTATGATTTTATTTAAAAAGAAAATTGAAAAAGAAGAGAACTACTGACGTTAAAAGATGCTTAGAACATATATTTGCACGTGTGTGGGTGTAGAGAGAGAGAGAGAGAGAGGATGCTAGAACCAATCTCATGGAAACTTGGAATCTTATTGCTGGCTAACTTGTCTAAAATGAATTGCAAACAATGAAAAATTTGGAGAAGTAAGGTATAAACTAAATGAGATGACTGGTCCTATATTCAGGCCTACACCAATTATAGTAGTACGAACTCATTAGTCATTAGTCACTCTATAAAACTGTAGCATAGGAGTGAAACTGATAAAATCATAAAGCAAAGACTATAGACATGAAACAATGGCATAGTTGGTTATACTAGAAAGACAAACCAAGGAAGCTAACTCTATAGATGAAAATTTAGAGAAGACAAAATCACACCATATTACATGTATTGGCTAAGAAAAACACTAAATAGAATTTTAAAAGCAACATCTATCACTTCAAAATATTGACGACGATGAAGGATAAGTAGTAAGAAATCAAATAATGGAGAGAAGAGAAAGGAGAGAATTTCTAATAATAATAATAAATTGCTTACATCAAGGATCATTATTTAAGCCTATCTCATTTTGCTTTGATCGTGAATCAACTTACAAGGAAAATTCAAGAGGTTCGACGCCACATGACGGTTGCTTATGATATATAATGATAAAAGTAGTCGTGAATCCTAAACACATATAAATAATTAAATATAAATAAATAAATAACAAATAATAAATATAAAAACATGATATTGATTGCTAACATTTCTGTTTATTACATTTATAATTGTCCTTGCTAATATTTCTGTTTATTGCATTTAAAATTGTCCTTGCTAATATTTCTGTTTATTGCATTTATAATTGTCATTTTTATCATAAGTAAGATTTTCATACAAATTGAAAGAGAAAAATAAACAAAGTATGCATATTTAAGTAACACAGTTATACCAAAAAAATAATCAATTAAATGTGTGAGTGTTAATGTTATTAAGAATTTTCCAATAAGTTAAATTAGTCCTTAATAGCAATAATTAAAAATTAGTGAATGAAACTTGTGTTTGTATTGAGAACATGAACTATTATCAGTTAGGTTCTCTAAATCAAAAACTAGTTGATAATTAAATTAATAAATAAGAGAATTGCTTTAAAATATAGGTGTTAACATTTTTCTAAGGGTTGTGATAGATGGGCAGATGAGTTTGACCGATTTGTTTGGCAGAACACAGGTGGCAGTCCACGTAATTAATTTTAATAATTAAAAAAATAATAATAATAAAAGGAGAAAGAATATACGGCGGATTCATCTTCCTGTGATGGAACGGCGGCGGCGATGAACTGGACTTTCTGTGATGGAACGCCAGTAAAACTGAACAGAGACAAGAGACTAACAGAAAAGATTACCGGTGACGGTGCAGAACTGGTTTGGCGACAACGAACTGGTTTGGCAACAACGATGAGAACGAACAGCGGGCCGCATAAGAAAGATGGGAATCCGGTAGAGAGAAGAACAGGTCGCCGGCGTAGGCGCGGGCTGGTCTGGTGAGGGTGCGGGACTGAGACGAGATCCGGCAGAGAGAAGGACAGGTCACCGGAGAAGGAGTCAAAGGACTGAGCAGAGATTTTGCAGAGACGTTTCATGAACGGTCCGGCGGGAGAAGCAAGAACCGACACTGAGCTTGGAACGGAGGACTGAATAAAAACCGAACGGCGGCGTCGAACCAGCGATGGTGCAAGGATGCACGGTTGATGGCAAGGTGGCGGTGAAAGAATAGTAATTTTCCCCAAGAGTGTCCCCATATTTTGAAGGGGTACTTTCGTCTAAAAATATTTGTGCCTTTAATTCCTTCTTAACTTATAGAAATACTAACACAAATGGTAATTGTTTTTGACTGCTGGAATGCCACATAGATTCTGACAAAGTAATATAATTCATCGGCGTAAATATCATTTTCCTTTTTCTAATGGGTGAATATTCATAATTTTCAAGCATCATATACAATAAAAGAAACATGGTTTGACAAAATGAGGAGAGAAATGATAATGTATGGCTGAATAGATACATAGCATTGAACGGTAAAAGGATTCACGTGGCCAATCTCAAGAAGTGGCATTCCATGAATTATAAATTTATTTAATTAGGATATTAAACTAGACATATTTGGAATAATGATCTCAAAATTCTTGAGCAGGAGGCAATAATACTAATTTTAATCATTTATTGAGTTTACTCAATTAAGCAAAACAGGAATAGATAACAAAAACCGACTCATAAAAGACAGATGTGGATACATAAGAAATCCAAGATACAGATTTACTTCAGGAAAATAAAACTACCAGGGTTTTTTTATATATATAGAAAACCGCGAAAGACACTCTCTAAAAACCTTTATTTCATTTTAACTAAATTGGAGCAAAGGTGGTGGCATGGTGTACTCTAGCTAATTTGCACGCCAAACCGCTTAAACCCTTTGTTCATCTCTTCTTTACCCTTGCCATCAATCTCTAGCTCAATGTTATTGTCACCTTCCAAACATATTACTTTCTCCCCATTCTCTCCATTCTTATAATCAATATTTATCAAGTAAAACAGTCTCTCCCCAACCTCCTCAGCATATTCACACCTATAAAAACTTACAATGTCATTTTCCTTCAATCTATGCCACAAAACAAAGTCTTTCCAGCCTGTCGTAAATACAAAGCTTTGAATATGCTTCCAGTAAGAATATTGGAAAGTCCACATACGATGATATCTATCATAAAAGGTTAATAGGGTTGGATTCACCTTACCTCTACCGTCATCTCTCTCAGAGAAAATGCTGCCAACAAGTGGGGGAAAGTACTTGGACCCATATTCGTTTGGGATGATAAATCTCCGGAGGTTAGTGATGTCGCTCAAAGTCAATTCCAACTGGAACAGATGTTGATGCAAGATCCCTGCTTCATTCATTAAGTCGTGCACACCATTTCTAATGATCGAGGATTGAATTGTTATGAAATTTACAAACTTGGATGCAAAAGATTTATCCTTGATCATTTTAAAAACCTCACAAGTGGAGTAAAGACCGAGAAACACAGCCTCCTTAGATGTGAGATCAGTCCAAGGGAAATTGAGATAATGATTTCCTCTTTGGATCTTGATAACTGCTCTATCATAAGCCATGGCAGCCTCCGCTACCACCTGACACGTCCCAAGCCATATGATTTACGATTGACGCAGATCTGTGCACCCCACTTACCATTTTTCAATGAAACCACCCCTTTGAATTTTGAGGAGGTACATTCTGCATCACCGTCTAAATATTCATTTGGTTGGTATGGGCTGATACAGTTGTTGGGGTCTAGACTTTCTACTATCATGCCTACTCTTGAGTCTGAAGCTGTACTATCCATCTCTTCTTCCATATAGCTATAAAAAGTTATCTATGGCAGAACACAGATTGGGAGGAAAGGAAGAAGAGAGAAGATGGTTGCTAATCATAGTTAAGCATTTTTCCATTTATAAGCCAAAGGTAATAATTAGGGTCTTATCTATTGATTAGAAGAGGACAAACCTTGGCGCAACAGTAAGGTTGCTCCATTGTGACCCAGAGGTCACACGTTCGAAACAAGGAAACAGTCTCTCCGTATCCGGAAGTAAGGCTGCGTACATCTAACCCTCCTTATACCTCGCAATGGCGGGAGCTTCATGCCCTGGGTTTGGCTTTTTTCTATTGATTAGCACAACCAGTTCAAGAGTCAATTACGGTAACGTTTAGTAATAGAGATAATATCGAAAGATTCCTTCAAGTGCATTTCCTTTGTCTTATTTCTATCACTCCATTATGTAGTTATCCAATCTATTTTAGCCAAACCAGACATAAAACAACTTACACCACCATATTTTGGTTAAATCCAAAATACATATTCTTAACCGGATGATTTTGGATATTTGCTCCATCAGAGTTGCACTGGTAAAACTTACTACATATTAATTAATGACTAATTACACTCAATAGGGTTTCATATGTTGGTGTGGTTCATTTTGTTTTTTGTTTTTTTTTTAGTGGATAAATAGCGGATTATAGAAAAGCACGCTCAATTGGGGAGTGCATCCCAGCTGCAAAAACTAGGCCAACGCTTCACCTGTAACCGACTCTTGAAGTGTTTGTGCCAATCAATAGACAAAACCTTAATTGTCTTTATAGATTAAAAATTTACCATAGTTGACCCTTATAACCGTACGCTAATCAATTGGAAAAACCTAATTATTACCTTGTATAAGATAAATGCAAACTATAATTAAGGTTTTCCATTTACAAGTCAAGAATTAACGATTATATCTCCACAATTGATCAACACAATGGATCAATGTCATGACCAATGTACTCTTGTTAGTGGACGATGCAAGTAGGGATGAACTGGGAACAAAATTAATATTTGGCATTATTTGCATATAGGTAGTAGCCCACAGACTCAAACCAGCAATCTCACATCTGGTAGCCCAAGCTTTTTTACTACTCCCTTTGTCCCAAAAAAAGTCTCTTTTGGGGAATATAACTTTTTAAGAGAGTAATTTTTTATGTTTTTTATTATAGTAATATGAAATGAATTTCCTAATACGCCCTTCTAAATTTGTCTTGACATTCTTTGACTAGGACACTTATTTCAAGACAAGAGGGTAAATTAGGAATATGAAAAATATAGTGCATTGAATTTTGAACTAGGACACTTATTTTTGGACAGTCAAAAAAGGAAAGGATGACACATTTTTTTGGGACGGAGGGAATATTATATTAAGCAATGACTTTTTTTTTTTTATAAGTAAAAATATATTAGAAAAACGTTCAAAAGGGGAACGTGTCCCTAATACACAAAAACGAAAGAGCAAAAGCAAAACCTACGGACCAACAGAGTCCAATAGAACAAAAAAATCATCAATCGAGGAGCAAGCGCTGCTTCTAACATAACAGAAAAGAGAGCGAAGAATAAGAGACTTAAGGTTTGCAAAAGACGATTCCTTCCCTTCAAAGTTTTTGTTATTTCGCTCTCTCCAAATACACCACCAAACACAATGTGGGGCAACCCTCCAAAAATCACGAGCATGACCAGAAATAGGGCAGCTTCTCCAAGCGTTAATTAATTGGAAAGAGTGCTTAGGCATTACCCACTGAACGCCAAAAATACTGAATATAAGATTCCAACAATCAGATGCAACAGGACAATGCATAAGAAGATGGTCCACGGACTCACCATCAGCATTACAGAGACAGCACCAGTTAACAATGGTATTACCTCTCTTACGCAGATTATCCAATGTTAGAATTTTTCCCCAAGTAGCAGTCCAAACAAAGAAGGCAACTCTAATAGGAGCTTTAGAGCGCCAAATACACTTCCATGGGAAATTATGTCCAATAAAATTAGACAAACACAAGAACATGGATCGAACTTCGTATCTACCATGAAGAGAGGGGGTCCAGAAAATATCATCACAACCTCTGCCAACATCTTTCTGTCTATACAACAGGTCCAAAAAGACGCAAACTTCTACTATCTCCCAATCCTGAAAAGAATGCCTAAAACGCACATCCCACGTAACTCCATTGTTATCAAGATGATAACAATCA